TTAAAATAATCTTTTTTAAACCTTTATTTAACCAGATGGTCCCATTGAGATTATTGATCTCTTTTTCAAGGGAGACATGTCCAACATGGCAGCGAGTAGGTTACAACATGAACATAAAACAACAGATAACACACAAGGACATTGTATTTACAGGGCTACATGTACATACCTAGAGACATTGACAAGTACCAACAGTATATTTATATCTCTCCCTGTCAATAAGCCTCACCTTCTTGGCAAAAACTGTATTGCTTTTGAAGTGGTGGAGAGACAATGCACAGTTTTACCCACTGCTGTCACCCATGGCCAAAGCATACAGTATCTCTCTGTCCCAGCAACATCAGTAACAAGCAAGAGAGTTTTTTCCACAGCAGGGAAAACGCCCAAACATCCCAGCTTCTACCTGGAAATGTGGACATGCTCATATTCCTAAAAGATAACCTTGATGATGCTGAGTGAGTGAGTTAGACTTGAGTTACTTTAAAAACTAAAGTGAAACTTTATTTATTCTATTGCAGGGTCTTATTATTATTATATTGTTGACACTTTAAAATACTACTATCCTACTAAAATGCTGTACAAATCAGATGTATTATTTAATAAAAAATAAAAAAATTCAAGTAAAAAAGAAAATTCAATTTTTTTCTCCCTTTATTTTTCAATATCGTGATAAATATCGTACCGTAGACGTTTTATCGCGATATTATCGTACCGTGAGTTTTTGGTATCGTTACATTCCTAGTATTAAGGCGAGTTAATTCCACCTTGGCTTATATGCAAATGTGAAGGTCAATTACTCTTGTAAATGTTTTATTCCATTTAGCTTTTGCCTTGTAAATCTGAACTCTGGTATAACACATCAATCCCCCTTCACGTAGGTAGGGGACCAATTCTGGATTCAAACCAGAAACATTTTCACCGAAAGACACAAGTTTGCATCCCTGAAAACTGCCCAGCTAAAATGTTAATGATAGTCAAATGTTTTATTGGATTATGAATCATGTTGAAGTGTGTTGGCTATTGTCTTGCGCTGTAGTTGTTCCAGGTCGTCTCACATTTCAGTGCTTTATTTGCCTTTGATTTTCTTTAACACTGGAAAACAGGTAAATGAAAGACATGTTTTTAAAGCCCTTAAGGTTCCTTTTAATAAGATAAAACCAACAAAATCTGAAGAAGACAGAGGAGAATGCCTGCTTGGGACAGAGAGACCGTCACTGACCCACACTCACCTGGCTTGTGGCTTGAATGAACTCTTGAGCTTTCGCTCTGCTGGCGATATTGGCCTCCTCCATTTTGAAGAGCAGAGCAGTCACTGAAATTTCAGCAAAAGCACATTTACACCTTTGGGGCCATGATTCAAATATAAGTCATATTTTGTTGTTGTTTAAGAATGTATTCGAAAGAACATGAACTGCATGCTGAATTGTTTATTATTGAAGGGTCTGTTTTCTACATGCTTTGGAAATAACAACTTTAAGATACTTGAAATAGGTATACTACCTTATTCTTTTCAAAATGAAGCTACACTGGTGTGTGGCTGCAGATCAAAGTGCATTTGATCTTTTACAAATATTAAAGGTTAGAAGACTATTACTCATTTCCTGTCACAGGGTTGACATTTTAAGTTTTAAGCCTCTGAACTCTCTTTATATGAACAAGAAATACAATCAAATGAGTGGAGGTTTACTGTACTGCAAGCCCCTAAAGGTGTGCATGTTTCGGAATGACATCTGTGGAGAAAACTCACATGCTAGGACTCCTCCAGTGGTACAGTCTACTCCGGTCTGCAGACTCCAGGGGAGGGCAGACGATTCTGGAGGGGGGGGGTGAGGCTTACTAGCAGATGAGGAAGACACAGAGGAGGAGGAGGGGTCTGCCGAGGACAGAGGCAGAGAAATGGAAGTCGGACCACAGCTTGCTGTAGAGGATGAGCAAGGAGGGGAGGCCAGGGGTTTGGGTGTATCATCTAGGGAAGGGGGTTTGGCAGTGGGTGTAGACAAGGCAATGCTGACACCTGCTCCCTGGGGGGGGGGCAGGCTTGAAGGACTGGATGCCTGGGGCGTGGGGCTTGTTTGAGATGGACAGTCTTCAGCTAGGAAAGAAAGGTCTGGGGTTTTACAGCTGCTGTCCACAGTCTGAGAGTCTGGGGAAGACTCCCTGGTGTCCCGTAGAGGAGCCATGGAGGGTGGAGGCGTGTGCGGGGGGGAGGAGGAGGGTGGGAGCACACTGGTAGAAGAGGAAGAAGAGGAAGAGGAGGAAGAACATGGTAAAGGGCCAGCTTGGCTAGTATGTGGACTGACTGACTTGCTACCCTCCCCACTGGCTGACTGATCTACAGAGACCCCCCCCCAGCCTTCAGATAGGGCTTTGGTTTGGCTTCCGTCTCCAGCAGTCAACCTTAAAACGCCAGCTTTCTCTCTTGTCTTCTTGGCTAGGCGACGACGGCGCTTAGTTGTCAGAGATGATGAGGGGGAGGAGGCGGAGGAGGAGGTGGATGTAATGGAGCTGGCTTTAGTTTTCTTGGACTTCAGTCCTGAAGGACTGGACAATGAGGATTGTGGTGCAGCAAGGCTGCTGCGCTTCCCCATACTGGCCATATCTTTACTGCGTGATAGGGGCTCCGAGCAAGGTTTGAGGAACGGAGACCTGCTCTCATTGTCCCTGCAGAATACTACTGCAATTGAGCCACCCACCACAGAGTTCCCAGTCCCCCCTCCTGTTCCTCCTGGCCCTATGAGATCCATGCCGAGCTTTCCAGTGCCCACTGAAGCCCCTGTGGTGCTGCTCACACCCTCACGCACTAGCACAGACACTTTTGACTGAAGCTTGCCTTTCCGACTAACGCCACTTTCTTTCTTTGATTTGCCAGAGTGAGACAAATCTTTTCTGCTGCTTTTGTCCCCTTTTTTTGCCTTCACCACCTTCCTGGTTCTCTTTGTTGAGGGCAGGCCAGATGAGGTAGAGGCAGGGCCTGAAGTAACTGTCAGTGAAGAGAGGCATTTACTTTTGGTTTTATTGGAAGAGGAGGATTGAGATTTGGCAATTTTTTTGAATGTATGCAATTTCTTTTTCGGGTGATGTCGTCCAGTCTTGGGGATAGTTTTAGTTTTGGGGCTGGCAATAGTTTGTTCTGGGGGCAGGGCAGCAGGGGGTGTATCCTCCAAATATGGGTAGTCTGAGTCCAAAGCCTCTCCATCCAAAGACAACACATCAATCTCCAATTTATCTGAATAGTGGTCTGACTCGTAGCTCTGATACCTTGGTGGTGATTGTGATTGGCTGTGACAACTTCCCTGCTCCTCCATCTCTCCAGCTGAGTGCCACTTCCTCTTCTTCTTCCTCTTGTGGGGCTTGTCAGAGTCCTGTGTGGGGCAACAGGGAGAGGCCGGGGCCAGTCGTGGGGAGCCAGGTACTGTGGTGGTGGTTGTGGTGGTGGTGACTGTGATGGTTCTCTTGATGGCAAAGAGGTCAGACCCAGTGAGGTCTTGGATAGAGGGCGGAACAACAGGCCGACCGTCCAGACGTCGCTCCCTCTCATGCTGCCCGTCTCTCTCTTCGTCCCTCTTCTCCCTGCTTGGTTTAGACCTCTTTGGAACGCCTCGCTCTCTGCTGCTTGAGTGTTGTCTTATTTTTCTTTGTCCGTCTTTACTTTTGGAGTTAGAATCTCTAACTCTCTCATCTCTTCTTTGGCTAGTGGTCTGACTGTGCTCTCTGTCTCGATCCCTGTCTCTGTCTCTGTCTCTGTCTCTGTCTCTCCCTCTATCTCTCTCTTTTTCTCTGTCTATTTCTAGAGATAGGTTTGAAAAGGAGTGTCTGGTGTGCCTCCCCCTTCCTGAAGAGTTGCAGGATCTTGAGAGCTCTGGGCTGCTAAGCATTTTTTTCTTTCTCTTCCGGCTACTGCTCCTGCTGTTCCTTCTTTGTTTTACCTCCTTCCCGGACTTATGGCCTCTTTCCTTTTCTTTGCTCCTCTCCCGACATCCCTCTTTGTCCTTCCTAGTCTTTTTTCTTCTCTCCTCCTTGTCCCCTGCCTTCCTATTCTTGCTTTTCAGTTGGTCGTGGTCCTTGGAAATCTTGGAGGACTTGCTGTGGTTCTTGATGCCTTGTTGTACCGGAAGTGTGAGAGGGGGAGAGGGAGTGGAAGATGGAGGATTCAAGGGAGGAGGCAGTGACTGAGGAGAGATAGGGGAAGGAGAAGGAAAAGATAGATATCTTTCCTTTCGCCTGTTGACCAGCTTCCTCCTAAGATCCTCCACTCCTACCACAGGCTCGTCCTCAGGCTCCATGTCCACATCCCAGCTGCTCTTTGTGCACACAGACACGAAGCCGTCCCCGTCCAGCACCCGAAGGATGCGCTCTGGCTTTGAGCCAAAAAAGGAGACACTGGGAGAATTAAGTGGGATAATTTCTCCAGTTGATGGTCTTTTATTGTTTCCATTCCTGTCGGTAGCTCCAACTATCTCCCCCTCCTCTATCTCGGAGTGATCAGACTCAGCACTCTCCCTATGCTCCCCAGCTTTTGCGGTGCTACAGTCCACTCTCCTCCTGAGAGGGAGTCGGGTGGCTGGTCTGGGGCTTTGCAGATCCGCCAAGGTATAAGTGGAATCTGGAAGTTCTTCCTTTTGCTCTCCTTCCTCATCACCTCTCTCAGCATTTCTGACTTTTGCAATTCCATCAGGGTCTGATTCTGGGGAACCAGTGGGGTCAAAGGGGTCATATTTCTCCCCATCTTCCCCCTTCACTCCCTCAATTTCATTGAAAGGATCAAACATGTCAATTTTCTTGCCCTTTTCTTCACAATCAACACCTGGTTGCACTGAAGCGTGAGGAAAGGATTCTAAGGAGGTGGTGTTGGGTGTATTTAAGGAGAGGGACTGCTTTGCTAGAGAGGCAGAAGTGGAGGACACCTTGGCCACTTCTGTCCCTTGGGTCTGTCCTTTTACATGGCTCTGATAACCTAAGTTAATGCAAACAGAGGAGGATGTAGATAAGGGAGAAGACGGATTAGATGAAGGATATAAGGATGGCGAGCAGGGAGTAGGGCTCCAGGCAATCTCTTTATCTCCACTCGGGGAAGAGGAAGCAAGGGGCCTCCTTTTGAAGCCTGATGCTGGACTCAAGTCCATGGGCCAGGAAAACTAGTGGTGCAAAAGTCAGACAGCGGGACCCTTCGGTTTGAAGCCCCGACAAGGATACGTCACAGAAATGGAATCCAGGAATAAACCTAGAAGACAAACACATGCAGTGCATTTGTGAACACTTCAGGAGTGATAGAATGACAATGCAGGGATATGAGCAAGCTAGTTTGGATCAATTACAATTTGTAAGCAAACAAATGACAAGGGATTTGAGGTTGGAAAAATGCAACATTCTAATGGCTCATTTCCACTGCAGGGCCTCGCACGGCTTAGTACGGTATAGTTAGGCCTTGGTAGGCCAAGCTCACTTTATGCTGCGTTTCCATTACAGGTTAGTAGCTGGGGCAGTAACTATAGTAACGCAGTGTAGGTGGAGCCGTGACGTCATCTTCAATGCGAACCACAGAAAACCAACATCAGCCGTTATCTTTTAGCACTCAGAGCTCACAGCTCCTCATATCTGTTTAGAAACTAGACAAAAGTTAAACAAGTACAAACCACAGACTGTCTGTATCATGGTGAATACAGTCGCTGCTTTATTTATGTCTGTAGGCCGTTGTTGTGAGTGTGGACGGTCGGAGCATATACTGCGTTAGCTTAGCCGATCTCCATTCAGAAAAGACGCATTTTAAAAGGTTTTTCCCCTGCTGTCTGTCTGCAGACTTGTCAAAGCATCAATTCATGGTTTTTACTAACCCGTATCAGTATGTTGTTACTTCGGCATCATTTTGAAACTTGAATTACAATTAAATCACGGTCAAATATGTTCATTTTGTTGTAGTTGTAGCCCCCTTGTCAGCGATTCTCTCACTAGTTTAGCATATTCAGCCCGGTTGTTGGCCCGGAAAGAACCTCGATTTTGGAGGGTAAGAAAAACCGTGAAAAAGTACCCGTTAGACGGAACCACCCCTAGTGGAAACGCAACAAAAAACGGGCCAGGTTTGCCACGGCACGCTTAAGCCGTGCAGCAGTGGAAATTCGCAATAAGTAAACCTTCTCAGACATGAAATCTTTTTTAACTTGTTTCCTTCTTCCAGACACAAATGATCATATTCTCTGGTTTAAGTAGTCATTGAATATGTATTATCTTTGGTGAACACCTCAGATTTATATTTTCCTACAGATAAAATAGTTGCTACGTTGCTGCACTGTATTAGTTGAGATTCAACAAGAAAACAGTTTTGCTTTGTCGTAGTTAGTATGTATGTATTTCAAGAATGTTCGCATTTACTAATCTGGCAATCGCTATAAAAATTATATAAACCACCTTAAGGCTGAATATCCAAATAAATTCGTACCTATAAGGGAACCCTCATTTGTAAAGGTTAATACCAAGGTTGTGGTTAAAAAAGTTGTGATTTATAATAATCTTAATCTCCCAGGAAGGTTCCTAATGCAGCAAAAGGACCTGTAAAGTACCAAAGTGGCAGACATGATAAGAGCTATTCAGATTCTTTAGATCAGGGGTGGGGAACCTTTTTCCTCTCAAGGGCCATTTCAATTTTTTCAACATCCTCCGAGGGCCGTACAAATTATTGACCTGTGCTTTAAAAAACCAAAATCACAACTCATTAATTTGGCCTTTCTTTCATTCTGTGCAAAGAAAAAGCAACCTCTTAATCCAGATATCTTACCATGACTCGCGCATGCATGCACGTGCACGGTTGTGGCATGACCACCAAAACAGAAAGATATGGACACAAGATGTGTGCAAACGTATTTAGTTTCTTATCCATGTGAACATGATCTAAGTGGGGGAAACCTAATCTCCTCTAGGGGGGTCATGCTCCCCCGGGAAGATATTTTTTTTTGAATGTTGGAAGTTAAAAGCATCAATCTGGTGCACTTTGAGAGCAACATTAAGAGCTCTATGGATACATCTC